AAATGCCCCCGCAGACCAACCCCATTTTCTCAGGTAATCGAAGACGCCAAAAGCCCGCGACATCCGTTCTGGCAGAAAGGTCAAAGGAGAGGCTAGGCATCTGACTAGCTGAAGCTGGGCACCTCACAGGACAGCCATCAGACCCCGCAGACCCATCCCATTTTCTCAGGTAATCAAAGATGCCAAAAGCCCGCAACATCCGTTCCGGCAGTATATCATGAATATAGATGCAAAAATCATTAACAAAATTCTGGACAATAGAATCTAACAGTACATAAAAAAAAATTCATCATGATCAAGTTGGTTTCGTAATAGTTATGCGAGGTTGGTTCAACATAAGAAAAACAATCAATTTAATTAATCACATTAACAAAACAAAAAACAAGAACCACATGATCCTATCAATTGACAAAGAAAAGGCCTTTGACAAAACCCAACATCTTTTCTTCATTAGAACACTCAGCAAAACAGGAATAGAAGGAATTTCTTCAACATAGTGAAAAGTATCTGTGCAAAACCAAAAGCCAACATTATCAATGAAGAAAGGCTAAAGGCATTCCTTTTGTGAACAAGGAGAAGATAAGGACACCCACTCTCACCTTTCTTATTCAATATTGTATTAGAAGTACTTACTGGGATAAGAAAATAATGTAATCTTGTTTGACTTTACACTTTTCTAGTATCATCTCTTCTCTGCTGTCTCACGTGTTGTTGATTGCTGTTGAATCAAGCACAATTCATAGTGATCCTATGAAGAAAAGACCTTTCTATAACTATCATCATTTAACAGAGTTCATAGAGTTTCCAGAGGCATGTTGTTTAGGAAGTAGATGTCACTCCTGTATTCAAACCTGTCTCAAACTGGGAGCTCGACCAAACACTGTCCGTCATGGGTAACCATTATGGCATTTGACACCTCAATAGCACAAGGTTCAGCATCACAGCAACCCCAGGTTACCTCAGTACAGCATATTGACAGGGTGCTGTACCACTTAGAAGAATGTTCGTTCAAAATATAAGGACAACCAACTTAAAAAAAAAAAAAGAAAATAATGTAAGAGGCAGCCAGATCAGCAAAGAGATGGTAAAACTGTTACTATATGAAGACAATATGATGGTGAACACAGAAAAGTCCAAGAACTCAACAAAATAACTGTTAGACCTAGTATACCAGTTTAGTAGACTGGCAGGATACAAGATCAGTATCTCTACAGTAACAAAGAAGACACAGAAAAAGGAAATGAAGAAAGTAATACCATTTACAATGGCCAAGCACTAATTAAGACATTTAAGAAGAAACCTAACTAGAGACACAAAACAACTTTATATAAAGAAAACTACAGAACACTACTGTGAGAAACAGGAAACGACCTACATAAATGGAAAAATGTTCCCTGTTTATGGATTGTTGTTACGTGCTGTTGAGTCATCTGTGACTCATAGCGACCTTAAGTACAACAGCCCTAAACCCTACTCTACCCTGTGCCAATATTATTGTCCCTGACACACCTACTCCCATTGCCCCAGTCACTGAATCAATCCATCTCATCGAGGGTCTTCCTCTCTTGTGCTGTTCCTCCACCCTCCTGAGTATGATGTCTCTCTCCAAGGACTGGTCCTGCTTTGCAATATGTCCAAAGTATGACAGACAGAGCTTCAGAATCCTTGCCGCCAAGGAGTAGCCTGGTCTCAACCTCTCTAGAATGAACCTGTTTGTTCTCCTTGCAGTCCATGGTATATCCAATACTCTTCTCAAGCACCACAGCTCAAAGACATCAATTCTCCTTCTATCATATCTAATCATTGCCCAGCTTTCTGATGTATAGCAAGTGATTGCAAAGACTATGACCTGAATCAGGTGCACCTTAGTTTCCATACTGACATTGTTGCTCTTCAGCACTTTGGAGAGGTCTCTAACAGCAGAGTTTCCCAATGCAACTCATCTTTTAGTTTCCTGGTTGACATAGGAAGACTCAATATAGTGAAAATGACAATCCTACCAAAAGCAATCTATATGTTTAATGCAAACCACATACAGATAACAAATTCAGTCTTTAAAGACCTAGAAAAGGCAACTGGCAAGTTTATTTGGAAAGAAAGGAGACTTTGAATAAGCAAAGCACTTCTGAAAAACAAAATAGATGTGGGAGGCATAGCATTTCCTGATCTCAAAAACCTACTAAACAGCTCAAATAACCAAAACAGCATGATACTCGTACAATAACTAACATATTGACCAGTGAAACAGAATTGAGAATACAGAAATTAACCCATCCACCAAAGGTCAACTGATATTTGACACAGAAACACAGTTTATCATATGGGGAAACAAAAACTTCTTCAAAAATGGTGCTCGTGGTAGGTAGCCTTTTAATCAACACAAGTTTTATTTTCTAGAAAAAATGAGAGCTTTGATGGCTTAGTGGTAAGGAGTTGCACTGCAACTCAGAAAGCACATGGTTCAAATCCACAAGCTGCTCTGTGGGAGAAGGATGGGCAATCTCTTCCCCTATGATTAACTGTGTCTGAAATCTCGCTGGAGGGGTAAGTATGGGTACATTCCAACTCAATGGCACACAACAACAACAATAATCCACATATTCTAGGGACCTTTGATGGCCTACTGGCAAGGAGCTGTGGTCCTCTGCAGGCAGTCTCCTCCAGTACAATTTACAACTCTGGAAACTTGCTGGAGGGTCAGTTATGGGTCAGTTGCAACTTGGAGGCATACAACAATAGCAATAACATTAAATCTGTATTTTCTTGAAATTTTCACAAATATAAATTCTTGGGCTTACTGAATCAGAAACTCTGGATTCTAGTAATCTGTGACTTCATAAGCCATCTAGATGATTCGGATGCATGATCAGGTTTGGAAGCCTATGCCATCAATGGCTGTATAAATGGATGTGTAAACTGGAGAAAGTTTGTAGCACCAGTTCCTATACACCCTTCCACCAACCTAGGCATGGACTGTGCTGACATGGGCATGGGGAATTTGGAGTTTCATCAGCCAAGCAATTTTGCTCAGTAACCTGCACATGTGACTGGCAATTCCCAAGCCTCTGTGATGACCTTTCTTTCACTTTGATCATGACAGACCCTGAGTCTCCTGGCTGACACCTCCCGGAAATCTTGAGTCCAAAGGTGCCAACACCAAGCATAGGCATTCAGTGTCCACCTTTAAGGCACTTTCCTCTCACTCCTGCTTTGAGCAGTGACACAGGCAATCTCTGAGCTCTGAACAATTGAATCACACAGTACAGTCCGACTCGTACTTGCAAAGTTGTCCTCATACTTGCCCTCATTTGCAGCTTTTAAATGATTGGAAAGACTTGCAGGTTTTTCTTTGCACTAAAGTAAGGCTGAGTAAGAAACATCTGTGACTTGTCCACAATACCTACAAATTCTACATAAAGGCATGCTTTGTTTGGGAGTAGACCTTGGTAAATCACATCCCATTATGGCAGCTGGAGTATTTAGTGCAAGGCGCTCCATAAATAATAGCTGTACTTTCAGAATATTAAGTACCAAATTGAGCACTACAGAGCATGTGTGCAATTTAGCAATTTTCCCCTCATTATTTCTAATTGTTCTAGAAGACTGAGTGCTGAGCCTCAATTTTTTGACTAAATGGGAATCCTGTACCTGAGGTCTCTTACCGTACAGGTGGATATAATCAGCTCAAGAGGTGCCTTCATTAGTCCTGAGAGATTTTATGACTATAATTATAATAACATCCACACCCTGGCAGGAATAGTTGTAAGCCTGGGATCTGGGGCCACATATTTTTCTGGATGGCATGAATTTAGCTTCAGATCTAATTTTCTTGGGCAGTATACTGACAAGTTTTGATGCTTGGCTTTCTTGCTATGTAATTCCATTCTGCCTGAGGCTATCAACACTTTTAACTTAGCTACCTCTTAGCTGAGCTGCTATTTTGATGGACACTCCTTGGCTTCACTTGTCTTGGCTTCAATGAGGATTAAGCTATGGGATGTATCAGAGGGTTAAAAAATGTAAACACCTCAGCATTTCTCTGGAGACCCAGTCAGGACATGCTGGCCATCTCAGGCATGTGGAGGAGGACATCTGGTGAGCAGGGATGATGATTTTTGATGGGAAGCCTGTCTTGGTTTCGTTCATTGCCACAAAACACATTCTAGACTGGCATTATGCTACAGAATAGGAAGCTGTTCTTATGTATTTGCTACTTTACAGTCAATGTTGGGTTTAGGTGCTGTAGTGACCCTATGAACAACAGCTTGACCTTGCCCTGTCCTGCCCCACTCTCACACTAAATGGTAAACTCCATTTTAGCAGAGCAGTTCCCAGTTTCTAAAAAGTTAATAGGTGGCTTAGTTGACTGTAGGGAGCTCTGGTGGCTTCCCTCCAGCAGGTTTTCAGAGAAAATTAATTGCATGGAAGGAGACCTCTCATCCTTATCCTGCAGAGCAGGTGGGGCATTTAAACCTTTGGTATTGCAGCACAGCTTCTTACCACTAGACCACTGGAATGCCCTTAGTGGTAAGGTGTTGAACTGCCAGTGCAAAGTTATCTGGTTTGAATCCATCAGCTGCTCTATGGGATAAAGATGGACAATCTCTCATGTAATTTACTGCCTCTGAAAACCTGCTGGAGGGTCAGCTATGAGTCAGTTCCAACGTGGTACACAATAACAACAAAGAGTTGGCCAGGGTTCTTAACCACTTGAAAAATTTAGAAAAATATTTGAGATGAGAAGCTCTGTTTTTGGTAAGTAGTTCAATTCTCCATCTTCTCTATAAAGAAAGATCCTAAACTTCACTTATTCCCCCTCTTTTCTACTAGCTGAGAGAAGGTCTTGAAGGGACAGCACTGTCTTTTGTTCTTTCACCCTGGTATCTTTGAAATTTTTACATTCTTTATAAAAAAAATGGCAACATTATGATATTTTCTTACTCCATTTTCAGCTGTTCTTTTTCCTTTTTTATAATATATTTTTTGATATTACAACTTACCTGTCCAATAAAGATATTTCCAGAAGCAACCACAGATTCAACAGGAGATGTTCCCATGGTAACCAGCATTAGCCATCCCACCTACAAGGAGAAAGGGGCAAAGTTAGTCCTGATGATTTGTGCACACTGAACTTCAAATTGAGGATATGTTTTCAAAACTGGAGCAAACTGCTACTGATGGTAAATGCAAGTATATTAAATCTAGTCTAGGGAGTAGACCAACCAAATCCCCCTCTTGCACTTTGAATATTACATGGTTGTTTCGCTCTATTGTGGAGAAGCGATACATGTCAAAATTGTCAATAACCATGGCAAACCTAACTTCACTCCAGGCACACCTAGGACCTAACTTAATTGTCACAATAATCTTATGAGGGAGGTTAAAGGCTACCTTCATTTTATAGAGGAGGAAACTGTTATTTTGTAAAAGTCACTCATATGAGATAGTGATGGAGATGGGATATAGTTGAGGTTTGATCTTTGTTAGTTAATTAATTAGAAGATTATGGCTGCCATTCCCACTCCTGCCCTGATCTTTCAACAAGGGTCAACAGCGACTCCTGCAGGACAGTCGTTCCTCTGCTTCGATGGGAGAAAGCTTGGTTGATTCTGAATGTTTAGCATAAAGAAAAGGCTGGATTCTGAGTTTCACTGGCATTCTGGTTCTCTACTTCTATCGTCTGGTATGACTTTAACAGGAATCAGAATGAGTGTTGAAGTTATTTTCACCCACGTTCTGGAAACACATTTCACTGATATTTGTATTCAGACCAGCGTACAGTTTCAACTTTCGGATCCAATTTATGACAACAAGACTGAGTCTCTGGGACAGTGGGAAAAAGACTAACATCTTGAACTTTATATTTGTATTTTTATAAAATTTCCTCAGACTCATTCTGTTGCTTTGATTTCTCTAGCAACCCCAAGACCAGACAGGTTCACACTTGCAACCTTCTGAAGATCAGTGGTGGCTTGTGTAGGGAACAGAGTGGCTAGCCAAGATAAAGGAAGGATGCTGAATTTTGTTGCCCCTGACATGTGCCTGGCCCATTAAAGTCACTTCTGTCACTCAGGCTCCATTAAGCTGGGCATATTACAAGGCAAAGTCCTATTAGATGCCCCTGAAATGAAAAACCCTCTCAAGGAGCTCTGGTGACCAAGTCTGTAGGAAGTTGCCCTTCTAACCACACCTCTCTGGTAGTTGAAATCCTCCAATAGCTTTGAGGAGAAAGATGGGCAATCTCTTCCTGTGTTATTTCCACCTTGAAAACCTGCTAAATGAGTGAGTTCTGACTAGATGAGAATGACAGGTAGGTAAAGGGAGTTCACCTTGAAAGGCTGATGGTTTGAATCCAATAGTTGTTCCTTGGGAGAAAGATGTAATCCATTCAGTGACAGTCTGCTTCCATAAACATTTACAGACTTGTAAACCCTTCGAATGACTCTGTTCTGTCTTATAGGGTCTCTGTGAGCTGGCATCAGTTCAGTGGCAATAGGTTTGGTTTTTGGCATGGGAAAAGGTGAGCATCCAACTCAGGCTCTTTGGGAATCCAATCTAATTAGGCTTTTATAGAAGGATCTTGGTATGAAGAAAGGGCATTTTGGAAATACCAGTGTTACACTGTGGTTTCTTCTCCCAGGCCCCATACCTTTCTAATGATCCACTGCATCAATCCAAGATAGTAGAGCATCGACATGACAGTGCTGAAGAAAACTATGATTGGCAGGATCTGGGAGTAGGGACAGAAGCATGTAAGTTAATGATGAAAACTGTCACTCCAGGATGCAGAGTCAGCTGGCTTAGATTCATTTTCCTTGCTGCCTTCCTTTGTCCTTTCTTAAAGGTCAAACCTAAAACTCTTCCTGAACTCCCCATCTCTAGCTTATCTTTCTAATCTTCACATAATGGATCATTACACATCATTTAAAAATGATCAAGAATTTATGAAATACTGTACAACACAGATGAATTGAGTGTCATATGTCAGTTACAAAAGGATGACTATGTTCTTAGACTACTGATGTTGTTGTTGTTGTTATGTGCCGTCAAGTCGCTTGCGACTCATAGCGACCCTATGTACAATAGCCCTAAACTCTGCTCTGTCCTGTGCCAATCGCACTGTCTCTGACACTCCCATCCCGATTATCCAAGTCACTGAATCAATCCACCTCATAGAGGGCCTTCCCCTTCTGCGCTGTCCCTCCACCCTACCAAGCATGATGTCCTTCTCCAAGGACTGGTCTCTCCTCACAACATGTCCAAAGTATGTTAGATGGAGCCTCAGAATCCTTGCCTCCAAGGAGCCACCCGGTTTAACCCTTTTCAGGACAAATCTGTTTGTTTTCCTAGCAGTCCATGGTATTCTCAATACTCTTCTCCAGCACCACAGCTCAAAGGCATCAATTTTCCTTCTATCCTCCTTGGTCATTGTCCAACTCTCTGATGCATAACAAGTGATTACGAAGACCATGGCCTGTATCAGATGCACCTTAGTCTCCAGAGAGACACCATTGCTCTTCAGTACTTTGGAGAGGTCCCTAACAGCAGAATTTCAGAACCATCTCAGGAACAGGTTTGAGGCTTTGAACACTAATGAACGAAGGCCAGGTGAGTTGTGGGAGGATATCAAGGGTATCATCCAGGAAGAGTGCAAACGGTCATTGCAAAGACAGAAGAGGAAGAAAAGACCAAAATGGATGTCAGAAGAGACTCTGAAAATTGCACTGGAGCGCAGAGAAGCCAAAGCACAGGGAAGAATTCAAGATACTAAAGAGTTGAATAGAAGATTTCAAAAGGCAGCATGGGATGACAAAGCAAAATATTACAATGAAATGTGCAAGGAGTTGGAGTCAGAAAATTAAAAGGGCCGAACTCGCTCAGCATATCTTAAGCTCAAGGAACTGAAGAACAAATTCAAACCTCGAGTTGATATAAAAAGCTAATATTCACACACTGATAGACTCAGTGTTGCAAGGTTAGTAGGGATGAGGACTGAGAGGGGAGCAAAAACTGATAAATAAATATGTTGTGTGAAGAGAAAGGCTATATACTGTAACCACTAGGGTTTGATTAGATACTATAATTAATGACATTAACCAATTGCAATTAATGTTATAAAACAACATATCTGTGCATAAATGATAATGCAATGATTTTCTTCAATTCCCCAGATTCTATCAATATTCTCTAATTATCTTTTATTATTATTCATTTCAATGAACATTTACAGAGATTTTAAATTTCTAGTCATTCATTGTTGCACTTTTATCCCCACCCACCCTCCTCCTCCCCAGTTAACTCTTCTCTTTGAAAAGTAAAAGAAAAATTCCTTCATTGGTTAACAATCCTCCTCCCACCCCCGCACTTCCACCCCCAACCCGAGTATACTCTACTCTGCAACCTTCATTCCGGACTCTTATGATAATCATAATGCCTTGTAATATATTGCTTTTTTTAAAATTTAGGTTGTTTATTTTTCATTTCAATGGACATCTACAGAGATTTTGGGATTCCATTCATTCATTGTTGC